CACCGCCAGGCTGGGGGCCTGCTCCTCGGCGGTGCCGGCCCGCGCCGCATCATCTATGCCCTTCCCCTGCCCATGCTGCAAAGTGGCAAGCCGCACCGTGTTGTCAGGGCCGGGCTGGCCGGTGCCCTCAGGAAGCCGACACACCAGCTCCCGATAGTCTGGGTGAGTGATGTAGGTGCCCGGCATGCAGGTTTGGTCCATTAAGGGCCACCAAATGCAATGCTGGTCATCGTCCAGCCCATACTTCAACATCTGAGGGGCAGACGCGTGTGAAAGGCAGAGGGGAGTGATTGGGCCAGCTAATGGCACAGCTGCAGCCCCTGCGAGCGGGCAGGCTGGGCCCTGGCAGTGCATGCTTCAGTGAGGTACAGAGGGATACCATGCCCAAAACGCAGGATCTGAACACTGCCCACATGCATGCCACCTACAGGCCATTCATCGCAACTTCGAGTGCGCTTGTGGCCGTGCACATCATCGTCAAGCTCATCATAGTGCGACTGCGGGAGCAACAGAAGGAGGAGGGCATGCACCCCGGCCCCCAGTTGAATTGGCAGAAGCTTGCTCGAGGCCTTTCAAACAGGATGCAGAGGAGAGGATCTTACAGCAGGCATGGGCTCGAGGCCCGCCGACGCTCACCCAGGTTGTGTTCCGGAGAGGATCTGGCAGCAGCATCACACGGCCCACACGGATAGCCAGCCGCACCAGCTGCACCAGCTTGTCCCTGCAGGCGCTAGGCAGGCAGCAGAGAGAATAGATGGCAGGGCAGCCGTAGCAGCCGCCAATTAGCTGGATGGGCTTGCAGTGGCTGTGCCATACGCTCTCCCTGGACAAGATCCGTGCCGATTGACAGCCCGCACTCATTTCCCGCACTTGAAGTCATCTCTCGATGTGCTGGAAACCTGAAGGCCGGGAGCTAGAGCCAGCACACGTGGCAGCGGCTGCTGCTCGGACGAGGCCGATGCAAACATCCTGCCTTGTAAAGCCTGGGCCAAAGGAAGGAGAAGCAGGAAGGGAGAGGGCATTGGAACGCTGGGGAAAGGCCGGGAACAAGGTGACGCAAGAAGAAACAGATGGCAGGCCCGTATGCTGGAGATGCCTGTTTCCCAGCGCAACAGCAGACGACGCTGGACCACTGTCAGGACAGCCGTGGCGAGAAAGGCGTGCACACATGCATGTGTGCCAGGCCTGCGCCGTGAACGCCACTCCCGCACCTGTGCGACATCAAAGTTAAAGGCGTTGATGGACTTGAGCCCATACTCCTTCTGATACTGTGCGGCCAGTACCCCAGGCATGTACATCAAGTGCACCTGCACAGCGCATCAAGAGCGCGAGGTATGTTGGCATGGAAGGGAGCATACAGTTGGCAGCAAGGTGGGGCAGCAAGACTGTGCGGTGCAAGCGGGTTGTGGCTCATCATATACCCCTCAGTATGCCAGCCGCACATCTCTCTCTCTCTCTCTGCACCATCCCTTAAACTCAACCCACAACACCCCTGTCCCTCCTCCCAAACTTACCACCACTTGAGCCGGCGGTTGCAGGTCCCACCACCCTCCCATGCGCCGGCCAAGCCAGGTCTGCAGTCGCAGCACAGCATGCCGTGCAAGAGCACAAGTCAGCACGCGGGACATGCCAGGGCATACAAATGCAATGCACATACGCGCTGCCTCCAGCTCTACTGTATCTGATGTACTGCAAATGCATGCATGTCCCGCAGGACTTACCCCCACGAGCCACTGCGGAGCGAAAATGAAGGTTTCATTTGGCGGCGGGACAAAATCTTTTGGGGACGGTCCCTCGATTTGATCATATTTTGCCCCACTTTCCTCCTCAAGCATCTGTGCCACAGGGCGAGGAGGGCCGGCAGGGAGGGGTTCTCACCAAATGAACCAACCAACCAGCTAGTCGGCCACGGCCGCGGCAGGAGGTGCAAAGGTGATTCCACGATTTGGTCATTGGGCCAACGAACAACGCCTCAGGAATTTGAGTCAGGCAATGCAGCGGCGGCGGCAGCAAGGCATGTTGGCCGCACAGGGCACGGCAGGGCAGGGTGGATCCCCGCCAGCCTGCTCCACCAATCACTTTAATGAATGCCAGTGAATAGTTGCCCCGCGGCGGGTGGGGCTTGCCCCCAATCTCCTCCCTCCATGTGCCGTTGATGTGCTGCACGCAGGACAGAAGCATGGCAGCGAGTGGGCCAGCAGTCATGAGCAGCGGCGCAGGATTTGCACGGCATGCAGTGTGCAGTCAAAGTCGCTGACCCGGTCACTGCAGGAATACGCTGCTTTTGTGGGTGGAGTGCGTACCGGGATCGTGAGGTTGAACCCCGGCACCGTTGCAACCTCCAGCGAGCCGGTGAGGTTGACCCACTCAGGAGGGAACTGCAGCTGCACGCCAGGCGTGTTATATTGCAATTGCGCGTCCAAGTCCTTAGCGATCCAAGGTGATTCGGACCACGTGAAGCGGATGTACGGGTGTCGGACACGGTTGGTGGCAATGGCATCGGCCAGCACAGGCTGCACAGCTAGGTGGGCATTGGTGTGGCTGGTGTCACAGATCAGTGCATTGCAAAGTTAGGAGGCAGATGCAGGATGAGCAAGCTGTGCCTGGGCCAACGGGACAGGAGGACAGGCGGGCATGGAGGCAGGCGGGCAGGCAACCCGTGCAGTAATGGATGGGCAAAACGGTGTGCCAACTGCGCCGCCATAGGGAAGGGAAACCGCTAGGTGGAGTAGAGTGGGGGCACACGCGTTATGCCACTGTCCTGCCTGAGAGCGAGTGTCAGCGATGGGATAGAACACAGGGGAGAGAGAGAGGCTGCAATGTGCCACTAGGCAGGGCGGGCTGCCTTGCCTGGTCCATCATGGCATCCTGAAGGTGGCCCATGCCGCTGTAATTGGCGTTTGCCGCCCACAGCTCCCAATCTTCATTCACCCGTATCATGCGCTCAGCCATATAGGCAATCGTCCAGGCGGCGCCGCCGCCGGGAGCAGCGTTTTGGATGTAGGAGGCTCCGCCTACACGCATGCACAGTGGCGGGTGGGCGGTGGATTGGTGGGTGTGGGACACCGCGTGCCCTGGAATGCGGCAGGCAACCTGGGCCCCACAATTTCGCCGATGATGCACGGCGACGTTGAAGCGGCGTGACACCCTTTGCGCGAGCTGCCCGACGGCCGCTGCCTCACCGTTGGTGAATGTTGGGCGTGGGTTGTCCGAGTCAGCCAGCGCGATCCAGATTACATCCTTGTATGGTGGTACCTTGACGTACTTGTATGGGTCCCGGTACAGGTAGCTGTCACTATCCAGCAGCCTGCAATATGAGCAGTGCGGGGCCGTCACACGCACAGCAGGGCCGGTATTGAGGGAAGGGCTGTCACAAGTGATGAAGGGCTCGGCCAGCGACGAGAGAAGGTCATCAAAGCAGCTGCCGGGCCAGGGGACCGGCGCAACAACCCCGTCAAGGCAAGCCAACCGCTAAGTGCATCAAGGCAGGGTGGTGGTGTGGGTGCTGGTGGCGGCAATGGAAGCATGGCTGCTCACCAGACATTGTAGCCAAGCCAGACAGCTCGAGCCATGAGGATGTAGCGTACCGCCCAGATATCTCTGGACTCCGCAAGCCTGCCGCACTTGGCTCGAATCGGGAACCAGTCTCTGCAGGGGAGCAGAAGGCCTGGGCGGTGCAGCAGCTTACTTGCCTTGCCTCCTTTTCTCTGTGCTTGGAGAGGGCGAGAAGGCAGACGGCCTCGCTCTCCAGGCCCTCCCTGCGACCTATTCCGCAAACGCCCTGCAGCAGCGTCCACAGGACCCTGCTCGGCTCACCGGTCTGACCAGACGCATGTGACATTGTTGTACCCAGCATCTGCCAGCTTGGCGCACGACTCATTGCCAGTCGAATGCAGCATCACGTTGGCCAGGCCCAGCTTCCAGGCACCCACCACTGCAGACGCAAGCGCATGGGGGAGCAGCGGTGGCGCCGATGATGCGACCGCTGAGGGTTTGGAGGGCATACTGAGCTACGCAGGGGCAACAGGGACTTGGGCTTGGACAGCAGGACGGGCAGCTGGACGGGCAGACAACAACCCAGAGAGACAGCGCGGCCTGCGCTCACCAAAATTCATACCCAGCACGTGGCCACTTGAGCCGATGGTGATCAAGAAGAAATCCTTCTTGTAGCTGCAAGCCTTGAGCTGCAGCAGGCAGGTGGCGGCAGTAGGCAAGGGGCATGAGGAAGGCAGGGAGGCAGGGGATGAGCAGTGAAGGAGCCAACTCACCGCTGCCTTGAAGCCCTCCAAGCTGTCCACCTCGCCCACATACGCCTGAAGCTTTCCCACGCTGCAGTAGCCGCTCTCCCGGCAGGGCAGAGCAGGATCCTCGCCCTCGCCGCGGTCATCCCCACTGCCGCCACTGGCAGCTTGGCTGGTCAACGACGCGAGGTGCTGGGTGGCCGAACCCACGACTCCAAACCAGCCAGTGCCAGATGTTTTCAGCAATAGCGTGGCGATAAGCATCATGCCAAGCATCAGCGCCGCGGCAGCAATCAACATAGTGTTGTACTGAGTGGTGCTCACCGCCGCCGTCTTGAAGCGGCGGCGGGCGGTGGCCGCAACGCCTGCGTCCATCCCACTGTGCTACTTGTGCTCCCAAGATCAGTATGATAGACACGCACAACCCAAAAGAGTTTCCCGCACTGTAGCGATTTGTTGAGTAGTATAGAGCGAGCTGTGGTTGTGCGCACAGTGGCTACCAAAATGAATGATGACACACAAGGTAGTTGCACAATGCAACGCGCGTACGCCGCCCGGGGAGGTACCTGCTGTGGGGCGGGCGCAAGCTGGACGCCTACCCAAAACCATTACCTTGTTCAAACTCCCAAGGTCAGGCTGCAAATTATCGAGCCTTAATGCAGGTGCAGACAACAGGAAACAAAAAGAGCATAATGAAATGCGGGGATGTTTGGTTGTGGGGGCAGCCAACCGCCGCTCCCTCTCTGCTGCGCTTTACTCTCATGCCCCTCCAGCTTGGTTGATGCGCTGCAGCAGGCAGGAAGAGGCAGGCAGTCCCTCCTTGGTTTGGCAACGAACAGCTACAAGCAGTCCAACACAGCACAAATCCATCCCATGCCAACACATGCAGCCACTTACCCGCAGCAGCACGCCGTCGTTGCCAAGCACAAAGCCCAGGCCTCCAGGGGTGAAGACAAGCTCGTAGAGGTTGGCGGCCAGCGAGTCGGCGGCACGCTCACGCTTCCAGCTCTGCCCACCATCCTCTGTGTGTGCGACCAGTCGCGGGCACAGGGATGGGTATTCCAGCAGTGCCTCTTCCAGTGTTGACCATCAGAAGCGGCAATACTACAGTTCTACCACGGATCGAGTGACACACAACAACCCATTCCCCAGCTGTCCAGCAAACACCGCACCTGTTTTAAAGAGCGAGCCGCTTCCGCCGCAGGCGTAGCCAATCTTGCCATCCACAAACTTGATGTCCAGGATACCGAAACCGCGGCTGGCAATCTTGGCCTGCAGATAGACGCGCAGTGTTGTTGGGTGGGTGCCAAGGTCAAGTGAAGAGCAGCGGCAGACAGCGAGAGGAGAAAGAGTGGACGAGGGTTAACACTCCCATGCTGGAACTGCGTAGCACCTGGCCAAAAGCACCCTCGCCACTGCCATCAACGTAGTACACGTCACCGCCCTGCACTAGGCAATACCGTAAGTGCGATGCTAGGGCAAACCCTGCTCCGGCATCCCCAATGTTGCAGTATCACCTACATGCATCTCCTCTCAGCCAGCAGCTGCCCACACACCATCCCCTAAAACTGCTAAGTTATCCCCGCTGCTCGCCCACCTTGGTGGTCAGCCAGATCTTGGCGTCGGGCGTGAAGCCCATGTTCTGCAGCCGCCGCGTGGAGGGCCGGTTGTGCGGCCGCCAGTACGTCTGTCCTGCACAGCGCAGCGCGTGGCACGGCGACGGCCATCAGCCGGCTGGGCATCCTTGCCTGGACCTGCAACTCTGCCCTCTGGTGCATGTCATGTCTGAAGGCGGGCGAACCAGAGCCCTCCAGCTCACCCGGGGACCAGGTCATGAAGAAGTTTCCGCGCGAGGAGACGGCCACGTAGTCGCCGGCTGTGTTGCGCGAAATGTTGGAGAAGGAGCCCTCGTAATAGGAGGCACCACTGCATTTAAAGAGGTAGTACCAAGGCAGCATTTGCAACGGCAATCGCAGTTTCGGGCCACTCAGCCGAGGCAGATAGGCCAACATGGGAAATGCTGCATGCGGGCAGATGGGGGAAGGGAATGCATGGGCACCTGATGCCCGAGGAGATTACGCGGTTGAGCGTGGCATCCACCGTCTCCTGCACTGCCGCCGTCCAGTTCATGGCACCGTTGCTCGTCACATATATGGCGCCCTGCAGCATGCAAGACAGGCGTTATTTTGCAAGACAGGCAGCATGAGAATGATAACATGGGAACAGCAGCAGCAGCAGACTATGCCAGCAGTTGCAGCGCTTCAGGCAGCGAGACCAGGGCTAGGAGGATGCGCTGCATGGATAACAGAACAACAGCATGCAGGGTGCATGGGGGTGCTTCCTGCCACCTGCTCCCAATGGACTTGCCTGGTCGGTTGTCATCTCAGCGCAGCCTGGGCCATCCAGAGCACTGATCAGCACGGGTGCACCTGGCAGCTTGGCTGCACAACGGGTGAAGGCCATCAGGCAGAGCGAGAGGTGAAGGGCAGTCCGTATGCATGTTGGGCGGACTGGTAGCGCTGACGAATGGGAGTATTAGCGCTGACAAATGGTTTTCCTGACCGCCTGTCATGCAGCAGCTACCATTCAGCACAACGCTCCTCGCTCTCTCTCAAGCCAAGCAACGAACTCAGGACATTGCCGCCCTCCTTAACTGTTATGGTTATGGCCCAGTGTCAGCCCAACCCTGCCTGCTCACCAGACAGTGGCACCCGCTCCCAGCTCTTGCCACCATCGGTGGTGTGCAGCAGGATGGCGGGCTTGCCCACGATCCACCCCTCGTCGCCATTGAAGGAGATGGAATTGAAGCGGAAGTTGAAGCCCTCGTCCTGCAGCAGCGCAGGGAATGGGAGCCTGGAAACATTAGAGGGAACGAAGGATTGCCCATTGCATGGATGCTAGCATAACATGGGGCGCTGCTGATCGCTGCTGAGGCCCCTAGGGGAGTCGCATGCGCGTGGCGCATTCCAGCAGGCGCACCCGCGCTGCCGCCACAGTGCGTGGCTCCCAGGTCTTGCCGCCATCAAAGGTCTCCAGCAGAGTCTGCCGGCTGCCGAGCAGGAAGCCTGCACGCCCGTACATGTACAGCGAATGGAGCTTGTGGTAAAGTTTGGAAGGCAGCTTGCGCAGCGAGCACAGCGTTTGGAGCACACAGCCCGGCAACCTCTTTCTCAAAATGCAGCACAGGCAGCGCACACAGCATGACAGCAGCGCACCATGATTGGGCTCGGTGCCTGTGAAGGCAACGTCCAGGAGCAGCACGTCCTTCTCAATCGGCAAGTCCACCACCTCCCACTCCGCCGACAGCGGCCGGTTGGCGTGCGCCGGCAGGCTGGGCTGCACAGCGGCAGCGGCACCCAGCGCAAAGCTAGCGCCCAGCAGGGTGCGACGACCGAGGGTGGCTGGAACTGCGGAAACGCCGGCAGCGGTGGCGTGCGGCTGCTGCTCCGCCTGACACTGCACCGCCACGGCGGCTGCGCTGCTGCGTGGAAGGACGCGGCTCACGCGGCCAGCCTCGATGAAAGGGGCTGCAGGATGGGGATTGAAGCACCGTGGGCTGTTGGTGTCTGGGGTTGCCGATTCTACCGCACGGCGCACATTGCCCGACCCCACCAGCCAACATTGCGGGAATGGTGAGATCGAGCAGTTGCACCGCCAAGCGGCTATCCCCACCTGCCATAAGAACTGCACTCATGTCGGTTCTCCGCACCACGGCCTGGTAAGCGTCCCGATTGGATGAACACTTGATTTGGCGCGAAGTGGTGGATTTCAGGCCAGCTGCGATGCAAATGCCCCGGTTTTCTGCGAACTGGATTGGGAAAGAAAGGCGAGGAAAAGCTTAGCCCCCTGGAGCCCCATTGTCGCAATTCAAATATATATGCATGCATGCATGCATGCATTATAAGTAGGCAGTCACTGGGACCTTTGAGCTGAACCGCGCAGGGCCGGCACCAGCTGGGCGGCGGCTTGTTGAACACCTTGATTGGCTGGCTGGCGAGGGCTCAATTGGCTCAGCTTTTGCACTTACACAACGCCGGAGTAGCGGGCTGTTGTCGAGGAGGTTGATTCGGCCAGTGAGTGCAGCCGCGGGAAGGGAACCCCTGACAATTACAGCGTGCGCCCCGTTGCCACTTCTACATGCATGCATGCTCCGTGACCCCCCCCGCGGAGGTGCTGCCCCAGCGGCCGTCGCCGCTGCCGCCGCTCCTCGCCCACGAAGGCGGTTTCCGCTTATCGTGCACTGCTTTTGCCCCACCCGCAGTGCGGCCGCTGACAGAGGAGGAGACCAAGGTGGTGTTTGAGAAGTTGCACAAGTTTATCGGCAAGAACATCAAGGCACTGGTAGACCGCGGCGGCGAGCAGCCCTATTGCCTGCGCCTGCAGAAGAATCGCGTCTTCTATGTGCGCGAGGACATCATGCGCCGTGCCACAAACGTGCGTGAGCCGGGTGCTGGGTTGGCTGCCGCCGTTCTGGATGGGCCTGCATGACTGATAGACGGGGCTGGACAGCACTCAGTCATGGATCCGCCTGCTTGCCTGCCAACTCCCTTCCATGTTGTGCCGCGGTGCAGGTGGCCCGGGAGAGGCTTGTGGCGCTGGGCACGTGCATCGGCAAGTTCACGCACAGCGGCAAGTTCCGAGTGACCATCGGTGCGCTGGACCTGTTGGCGCAGTATGCCAAGTACAAGGTGGGGCAAGCATAGCACGGCTCTGGGAGCTGCCTGGCGTTTTGCTGGTGGCAGGCTGCCGCCGATGCGACACTCTTATTCAGTCTTTGAGCCGAATGCGCATGTGGATTCGCAAACCAACCTGGGCTGAGGCCTTCCTGGTATTTTGCCCTACATAATCCTGTCTATTGATACTGCTTTGCACCGCTTCCTCCATGCACGCCCCCAGCCACAGCGTCCAGGGCGAGCATAATTACACGCCACGGTTGGCCGCTCACCTGCTGCGCCCGCCCGCCTTCCTGCCAAACCGCGCCTGCAGGTTTGGGTGAAGCCGTCTGCCGAGATGCAGTTCCTGTATGGCAACCACGTGCTCAAGAACGGGCTGGGGCGCATCACCGAGAACACGCCAGCCTACACCGGCGTGGTGGTCTACAGCATGTCGGGTGAGCCGAGATGGTTGTGGGCTGCATGGTGTTGGTCTGAACGTCGCGGCGGGGAACAGCATGGACCTCTTCACCCCACGACAGCCCTGCCTGTCGTGCCCATGCAGACGTGCCGCTGGGCTTTGGTGTGACGGCCAAGTCGACCTCAGAGTGCCGCGCCGCCGACCCCAACGGAATCGTTGTGTTTTGCCAGGCAGATTGTGGCGAGTTTTTGCGGTCGGAAAGCTTATTGTAATAATACACACTATCACGTATCCCCAGCTCCACCAAATCACTCGTAATGTGTGAGAGGTTTGGGCACGTGGCCGCTGGTCGTCGTGGGCTATATGCCGCTTGGCTCTAGTCCGGCGAGCTGAGCGGCTATGCGTTCGTTCTGACCATCGTCCATACACTGACTGAGTGAGGTTGTGTTACTCACTGTTTGCATTGCTGTTGTGGGCAGTGCTTGTTGCCGCCGAGCGGCCGCTGGCGCTGCTGCGCCGGTGCCTCGGCGGGCAGGCTCAGGTTGTGGCTCCCTTAACTTCACTGGCTGCAGTATGCGGTGCTATCTTGTTTCGTCGCAGTTTTCATGCCGAGGATAGAGCGCTCTACAGCCGCACACTGGCATGCCCAATGCGCACTTTTTGGGTGAGGTCCATTTCCCGTTTGCGTTCCATCTGCGTTCGTGGATCCACCAGGGCTCTCTCTGTCGCGGTCACTCCCACGGCTACCTGTGGGCCACCCCCGGCGCCGAGACCTGCAGCAGAACCCAACGGGGCCCCACCCTGCTTGGACGCGATCGAGCCTGCGAAGAGGCAGGTGTTGGGGCGGCAGCAAGTGCCGGAGCGCCACCCAGCGATTTTGCGGGCGGGGAGCCATTTTCGCCGCTGGGGCGCTGCGCAGCCGGTGTCTGCAGCCCTTATCCTGACCTGGAGCCTCCTGCCGTTGCGGTTCGCAGGTCGAGCCACCATGGACTTGCTGCCCACCCGGCAGTCGAGCGGTTCGGAGGCAGCGGCAGCGAGCCTGAGCGACAACCAGCTGCTGGCCGCAGACACCGCATCCCTCACCGCAGACCAGCTTGACCGGCGCCACCACCTCCTGAGACACAGGTGCGGTCAGGCGCTGTTGGGCATGCGCCCCGCCCCGCCGCCTGCTGTCCAGTCTCGCCTCTGCCTGCCCACTTGGCCACTGCTGTTCACTTGAGGCATTGCCTAGGACTGCTTGCTGCTGCACCGCGCATTCACATGCCCTCCCACTGCCCTCCCTCCGCAGCCTGCCGGACTGCGCAAGGGGCGAGGCAGTGCTGGTGCACTTTGAGGTGGGCAGCGTGCACGAGGCGGTCAAGATGATCAAGAAGATGAGCCAGCGCGACCTGCAGGCCAAATTTTTGGCTGTTTACGGCACCAAGACGCATTCCAACAACAACAACTGGCTGCGGCGCAAGCTGTTCGAGGCCATCGGCGTGGACCCTGCCAAGGGCGCCGTCAAGAAGGCGGCTGGTGGCGGCGCGGGTGCAGGCGGGCGCCGCAGGCGCGGCTGCACGGCTCGCGGCGGCGGCGCTCGTGCTCCTCGCGCGCCCCGCGCGGTGGCTGCACCCTGCGGCAGCAGCGTGGACATTGACTGGTTTGCACCCCGCAGCAGCTGCTGCATATCCCAGCAGCAGACGGTGCTGGATTATGAGCGGCAGCAGTTTGCGGAGCAGTACATCGAGCACTGCTATGAGCAGGATGCTGGCATGGAGGAGGATGAGGACCACAGCCATGTGGCAGAGGCGCTGCTGGCGCTCGGGGACGCGGTGTCGGCGTCGCTGGAGGAGAGCTGCAGGTGCGGGGGAGGGGGTTGCAGACTGTGATGAACTGCTCGTGTGCTGCACGGCATAGCTGTGCCATCGAGTCAGCCTGCCTGCCCTCCTGCGCTGCTGTGCCTGCAGCGAGGGCTTCATGAGCGTGGCTGCAACAGAGCAGACGCTGGCGGAGGAGGCCGCGGCGGTGAAGGACGAGGACGAGGGCGCCTTCCGCCGCATGCTACTGGAGCAGCACGAAGTGCACCTTCTGGCTGCGCAGCACCAGCTGCATGGGCACGGCAAGCCAGCCCTGGCAGAATGGCTGGCCATGGTGCAGCAGCACGCAGCAGCTGCTGCAGCGGCAGCTGGCGGCGACGCGGCGCAGATTCGTGCGGCATCGATGGCAGCAGCCGCCATGCACCGCCCAGCAGCAGCCAGCATGGGCCTGATAGCGCCACCTGGGCAGATGATGGGCAGCTGGCCTGGCGTGCCCATGCTGTCGCTGTTCCAGGCACTGGCGATGCAGCACAGTATGCTCAGCGCCCTGATCGCCTCGCAGCACGTCATGGCGCCACACGTGCTCCCTCTGTTTGCCACGGCCGGCAAGTGAGCGGCCAGTGGCGGCTGCCGCATGGACCATTGGCCCCACCAGGCACACACCCCTGCCCAGCCCACCCCATGCTGGCGCGCTCCGCACCTGCGCCTGTATCCAGCACAACCCACCCTGTCACATGAGCTCGCCATTTTCTCCAGGCTGCATGGCTATGGCGCTCCCTGCCCACCCCAGCCATATTCCTCTTTGATGCTTGAGCATTCAGCATTCATTCTTCTCTTCCGGGCCTGCTGACTGCACTGTTTGCCGCACCTTGAACTCAATGCTGCACCTGCCTCTTTGACAGGCTTCCCAGCTTGAGCAGCGGCAATGCTGCACATGAGTGGGGCAATTTTGCCCAGCCCCGGCTGTGCCAACTGTTGCCTTCTTTCTTGATTCATTTTTTTCACCTCTGCTAGTTCGGCCATCACCAGCGTTGGCGGCCCGAGCCAAGTGATTTTGCCATGTGCTCTGCTGGCACCCTCTGTAGACTTTTCTTTCATTTCCACTGCTCGGGCAAACCCATGGTGCACACTCCCTGCCAACTCCCTGTCAGTGTATACTCGCTGGGGCCCTGGGCCACACTGCAGCAGCTAGCAATTTCCTCTTGTTCATTTTATTTTCCTGCCCAAGGAGGAAGCAGCAACTTCGCTTTGTGCCCCTTTTGGCCACGTTCGGCCACCCTGTCCCCATTTGTCATGCCGCTTTGCTCAACCACGCCTTTCATCACCATTTCATACCCAATATATTTTTCGCGCTGGGCCACAGCCGCCACAATGAATGACATTGCTTCCATTGCCTTTTCAGAGACGCTGCATAGTTGTGAGAATACAACAAGGAGCGCAGTGGGTCGTGCGGGACTGGAAATCTCAACTCAGATGAGCTTGCATTGTTCAAGCAGGGAGTGAAGGCCACCACCCGCGGGATTTTGCCAAAGCGCCGACTGCGCAGTCCCGCCTCCCGCCACGCCAGCGTACCGCTCCGCACTTGTTTTTATGCCGTTGATCCTTCACCGCAAGCTCAATCAACCCAGTCCGCATCATTCGGCAGCCTTGCCTGAGCTAGGCCCCAGGGGCCCGATGCTGCGTAGGCTCGCTGAACGTGTTGGCTTCAGGAGCACCGCGGTATATGCTATTGACAGCCTCTCCCCAGTGAAAAAACGCTGGAGAGGCTCGCTCACCACACCCCTCCCCCTGCTTCAGATGGCTGGGCGCCTGGCGTCCTCGGCTGGCTGCAGCACCAGCGGGAGGCAGCTTGAGGCTCCAGGTGAGCTGCAGGGCTTTGGGTTGGCACCCGCTGCATAGCTGAATCGCCGCCGCCCAGCTCTCACCGCCATGCTTTAGCTGCCACCGCAGGCTTCAGCACGGTGTTGTGGGCGCAGCTGCTGTGTCGCTTTACTAGCTCGAATGCCGCTGGGCTCAAGGCATACAAGCCGACCACGTCAGGTAGGAGGACCGCCTGCCCAGCATTTGTATCGGAGCCAGTGCAGGCAGGCCGGTACGCTCGTGCGCAGGTGGCGATGGCCTGATCACCGCTCCTCTGTCTCTCGTCTGCTGCTTCCGGATCCACAGTCACTGCTCCAACCAAAGTGATGCAGGCTTCCGTGGCCGCGTCATCACCTCTCGCAAGGGCTTGTGGAAGGGTGGCCCTTTCAAGCCGCTGACCGAAGGGATGGCGCGCACCGGTGGCCGCAACGCCCACGGCGTCATTACTGCGCGGCACCGAGGCGGCGGGCACCGCAGAGTGTATCGGGCCATCGACTTTGCGCGGCCACAGGGCACGGCGGCGGCAGTAGTTGAGCGGCTGGAGTACGATCCCAACCGCACCGCCCACATCGCCCTGGTGCGGCACAAGGGGGGTGCGGCCGCCGCGGCGCTGCGCCACCAGTACAGCTATTTCCTGGCGCCCCAGGACGTCAAGGAAGGCGACCTGCTGCACTCGGGCGCCGATGCACCCATTCGCCCCGGCAACACGCTGCCGCTGTCGGCCATCCCTGTGGGCATGGCGGTGCACAATGTGGAGCTGCGGCCCGGGGCGGGGGGCCAGCTGGCACGAGCCGCAGGCACCGCGTGCACGCTGGTTAAGAAAGGTGAGGCCCGCTGGGTGGCGCGACGTTTGGATGTGGGTGAACATGGATGGAGCTGCATTGCATGTTGCTGGGTTGGCAGGGGGAGGTGTGGCCTGGTGGCAGTGGGACAGTGGGTGAACAGCACGCACCAAGGCTGTCCTGTCAATTTGCCTAAGCAACTGGCAAATTGGCCTCAACGCTGTCGGCTCCACCTCGCCAGTGTGCATTTATGACTGCCCGTTCAACTCTTCTCCTCGCCCCTGCCTGTCCCCAGGCGACGACGGCTATAGTGTGGTCAAGCTGCCCTCCGGCGAGCAGCGGTTGGTGCTATCTCGCTGCATGGCCACCATCGGGGTGCTGTCCAACCCGCAAAACAAGAACGTGAAGCTGGGCAAGGCAGGCGCATCGCGGTGGCTGGGGCGGCGGCCACGCGTGCGCGGCATTGCCATGAATCCAGTGGACCATCCGCACGGCGGCGGGCGCGGCAAGAGCAAGGGGCGCATCAGCCAGACGCCGTGGGGCAAGCCCACCAAGGGGTACCGCACCCGCCACAACCCCCGCACCGACTGGGCCATCCGGCAGAGCCGGCACAAGGCGGCACGAGCATAATGTTAGGGCGGCAGCAGCAGCTGTAGTAAATCATTAAGTCCATGTGCATGGCATCAACCCTCGGTTACACCGATTACAATGTTCAGGGGCATTTGTTTGTCAAAAGCTGAGCCAAGGGAAGTCGGCAACATGAAGTCAAGTACAGCAGCAGCAGAAACAAGAAAATTCAGGACCAATGCATACAATCAATGAACGGCAGCCAGGCAACGCCGGAGAACCACTCAGAAAAGTGTGGCCAACTACTGCGTCGGCACATCTGCCTCCTCTGCCGCTTTGCCACCGTCCTCCGGGAAAAGCGCATCGACAAAAGTCGCGGGCTGGAAAGGCTGCAAGTCCTGGACGCCCTCCCCCACTCCCACAAACTTAACTGGCACACCCAGCTCGTCCACAACGCTGACCTGCAGCAGGCACAACGCGAGTGGATTGAGATGCAGACCTGCTGCGAGAGGGGAGTAACCGCAACAGGTGGCAGCAGCAGCAGGGCAGCAGCAGGGCCGCAGGAAGACGCAAGCCGCGGCGGCTGGCATGGTGCCAGCGGCAGCAGGAGGATAAGCAATGGCAGCCGCCAGCCAGGGCTGTGCGCAGGGACGAGGCTGATTGTGCAGGCTGCCTGTTTCGTTTGAGCTCACCACTGCGCCGCCACGCGCCGTGCCGTCCAACTTTGTGAGGATGATTCCGGTCAGTTGCACCGTCTCATTAAACTCCTTGGCCTGGTTGAGCATGTTGAGGCCCGTGGTGCCGTCCAGCACCAACAGCACCTGCAAGGACAGGCACGGAGGGGCAGGAACAGGTGCAGGCATGGGCTCAGAGGTGTGCCGCAGCAGCTGGCCGCAGTCTCGAGCCCCCACACACAGCTGGGAGCGCCGGACCCTGCACGGGCCCCCACCGTAACCCCACCTAGCGCAGAGTGCTGCCGCCATGCACGGCCCCTGCTCTGCCCCGCCCAGCGCAGCTCGCCCACCTCGTGCGGCGCGCCGTCCAGGCGCTTTGCGATGCTGCGCTTGCACTTGGCCAGCTCGTCCATCAGGCTCCAGTTGGTGTGCAGGCGGCCCGAGGTGTCGCACAGCACCAGGTCAGCGCCCCCCCTCACCGCCGCATCCACCGCCTGGTACAGCACCGTGTCTGGCCGCGCCTTGTCGCTGTCGGCACGGACAATGTCGGCCCCCGCCCGCCGCGCCCACTCCTCCAGCTGCTCCGCCGCGGCGGCGCGGAAGGTGTCGCCCGCGCCCAGCACCACCTTGGCCCCGCCCTCCGCCCCAAACCGGTGCGCCAGCTTGCCGATGGTGGTGGTCTTGCCTCCGCCGTTGACGCCCACGATCAGCAGCACCGCGGGCTTGCTGTCGGGCAGCGCCAGCTCGGCGCTGCCGCCGCGCTCCGCCAGCAGTGCGGCAATCGACTGCTTCAGCTCCGCTCGGATCTGGTCCCCCGTTTTCAGCTGCCCCGCCAGTACCTTGTCGCGGATGCCATCCACGATCTTGAAGGCGGTGCGCGGCCCAAAGTCGGACATCTGGGTGAGGCGGGCAGGGCGGGGCCAAGGACGGAATCGTCAGGGGAAGGGGCATCAGCTGGCAGCCTCCCGCCCCTCCCAGCACACCCCTCCCTCGGGTGTGCGTTGCGCTGCCGCTCACAATCAGGGCGTCCTCCAGCTCCTCCAGCGTCTCGTCTGCATCATCCAGGTTCCAGTACGTGAACAGCTCCTCAATGACCTGCGGGGGCGAGGGAGACAAGCCATGGGCAAGGAGGGCAAGCAAAGAGAGTCGAGAGGGCGAGAGGGTCGGGTGCCAATGGGTGGGCAGCGGTGCAACCAGGGTAGCGACCAGGGGATGGGAGCGAGTAGCGATCACAGAAACCCACCCCCAGCTTCTCGCGCGTCTTGCTGGTGCCCTTCACGATGCGCCCCAGGTCCTGCGCCGCCTTCTCCTTGAACACCCGCGCCAGCTTCTGCAGCACGCCCGCGCCAGAGGTGGCGGCGGCATGCACCTGCAAGCAGCGGAGCAGGCGGAGCGGTGCTGGAAGCGCTGGTCATGGGCTTGAAACCGCACGGCTGCCCTGCCTGCCCCTCTTGAGCAGCAAACTGCCACACCTTGAAAGCTTGCTGCCGCCGGCGACGCCCGCCTGCCGCTGGTGCTGCCAGCCCGGGGGACCGCGCGCCTGCGGCTCGGCACTGCCCGACGCCTAGACAGCGTGTGCATACAGCCAGAGCTGACGCCGCCGCGGCTGCCATGCTGCGGTGTTGGCGTGGGCGGCGCTCGAGAGCGCAGCAGTGCAGCCTCGACAAGAGAGAAGCTTGCAGGCTAATTTCAGGCCCTTCTGCAGCCGAAGTTATCGGGATCAGACGCAGCGGTACGCAGGTACATCCTGCAAATGAAACTCAGGTGGGATCGGGATGCATGTGGGTTGCAAATGACGGAGCCTCAGTCCCGTACGACACCGCGAGTGGACTAACACAGCCTAGTATCTAACACAAGTGGCTACATGTGGACAGTGACCATTCAGCAGGTTGCCCAAGGCGTCCGCAAGGAAGGAATTGTAGCTCATGGCCACTTTGGAGGGCTTCCTGCCCTTTGGCTTGCTTTCCTTCTTGGGCGACTGGTCTGCTGTCTCACGCGGCACAGCGAAGGTGTAGGTTGCCGACTCAGGGAGAAATGGAAATAAAACAACAAATGCCAATGTCCATAAAGTCGCTCGCCAGTAGTGGCATCCTGCAACTGGTCAGAACTGGAGCTGGCCAGAGCCATCTGCCGAGCTGTCAGGCATCGACCCTTCGCGCTCAAAGCTGGGCAGCCGCCGCCGCACCGCCTCCTGCACAGAGGTTGCATGCCCAGCGCTCGGGATCTTCCGGTCCAGACCTAGAGGTAAGACCCTGCATCAGACATTCGCATCCTGCTGATGCTGCTCTGGGTCGGTGCCCACCCACCTGCAGGCTGCCAATGCAGCAATTCTGCATGAAGTGCTTGAACTCCTGCCAGTCCAGCTGGCCGTTGTGGTTGGTGTCGTGCGTCGCCAACACCGCCGCCACATCTGCTTCAGACACGTTGAAACCTTGCAGCGTGGAGCTCATCTCCTCTGCCGAAATTTCCTCATCGCGATTGGAGTCAAACCGCTGGAAGAGCGCCCGCAGAAAGTCCTCCCGGCTGGTCACCGACTTGCCTAGAGTCGCAGCCACAAACTCAGCCAGCCCCACCTGCGGTGCGTTGGTTGGCAGATGGGGGCCAGCCAACAGAAGCGCACAGTTGATCGGCTGGACGTCACGTCAGCCCAGGCCCGCCATACTCGCGTGACCACCTAGCACCGTGTGGGCAGCAACATGAGCGCACCTCGCCATCGCCGTCCATGTCTGCTGCTGCAATCATCTGCCGGGCATCCTCCTGCACACAAACAGTGAGGACCGGCGGCCCACCTTTGTTTAACAATCGCGATGGCAGCCACCGTGGCGGAAGGAGGGCAGCTGCGCGCCATGCACCTGCGCTTGCAACTCTGGTACCGCCATACCAGCCCCACCTCTGTGACCGCTCGTCCCTGCCGCTGCAGCGCCACTTGAAGCTCATCGGCCGTGAGCCGCCCAGACTTGTCAGCATCCAGGTGGCTGAACATTGCGTGCAACCCAGGGATGTCTTCTTGCCCCAGCCGGGAGGCTGCCACAACCTGCGACGCAGTTTCGTGCAACAAGGAAAGCATGGAGGTGGAGGCAGGCGAGGCCAGGGTAGGAGGGCAAGGTGGCAGGCCACGCCAACAGGCCAAACCCTCTCCTCACCATAGCCGCCCGATGAACCTTGTTGCGAGCATTAAGCGCTGCCAGCCGCCGCACCACTTGGTGCAGCGGCTGGTCAGGCGCCGCCTCACACAGCCAGGGGTGTTGCAGCACCTCTGCCGGCGTTGGCCGCAGTGCCGGGTCACGCTGCAGGGTGGATGGGCAGGGCAGGGGCAAGGCTGTTCAGGCCAGCAGCTCAGCCAGCGCCCAGCTTCCGTTGTTGACAAGGCGTGCCCAATAACGTTCACGAGGCCGGCCCCAGCACAAAATCCTCGCACAACATACGCCCAGCATGCACACGCCACCACCGGCGCCCTCCTACCTACCTGGAGCATGCGGCGCACCAGGTCCTTGGCGTGGCGAGAGATCTGAGGCCAGGGCGGCGTGTCCAGGTCCAGGTCTGTGGCAGAGGTAGGAGCAAGCACGGGCAGGCAGGGAAGCAGCATGGTACTCTTTGGCGGCAACCAAGGAGGCGGGGTGCAGTGGTCAGGCAAGTGGGGTTGTGGCCCACCCAGTCACCCACCTGCGTGCAGCACCATGTCGAACACCTCTTCTTCTGTTTCCCCAAAGAATGGCAGCAGCCCCGACAGGAGGGTGTAGAGGCAAACACCCAGGCTCCACACATCCGCAGGAGGGCCATAATCGCGGTGCAACACCTCTGCAGAGTGATGGGCGGTGGAGGTTGTGGCTGGCTGGGCCAGGCAGGACCACACACGAAAAGCAGCCTGGCCGTTTGTGATCCTTACATCTGAGCCGCAGCCCGGATGGCTGCTAGACAGGCAGCCCACCTGGCGCCACGTAGAATGCGCTGCCCACCAGGCTGTGGAAGTTGCGGCCCGGGCGGTAGAACTGAGACAGGCCTGGACGCAGGAACGGGGAGCAGGGGCAGGCGCATGGTTGGTCGACCCCATTGCCAACCAAAGCCATGCCCCACCAAGAGTATCAGGCAGTAACCTGCCCCAAGCAGTGCACCCCCCGCCCCACCGACGCAGGCCGTCAAGATAGCGCGGTGCACCCCCCCTAACAATCCCCACAGCCGCCCCGGCACCCACCAAAGTCGCAGGCCTTGACGCGTGCCTTGTCGCTGCGGTCAGAAAGCATGAAGTTCTCCTGCAGTGAGCCAGTCAGCAGAGCAGATATGCTCACGACAGATGGTGGCCAGACGGTGTCAGCCACATCAGCAGCGGTGTGGTTCACCGTGACTACCCACTCGGCGCCTACCCACCGGCTTAATGTCTCTGTGGCAGATGCCGAGGGCGTGGGCATGGCGAACCACTTCGACCATCTGCCGAGGGGGGTTGTGTGGGGGAGCGCATGGGTGGGCGGGGTGTAGGGTTGGGGCGTCGTGCGGCAGGGGAGAGGGGGGCATGGCCCCGCCACACCCAGCTCCCTCTCTCGCTCTCGCTTCCCCACCCCGCAACCCCCCCAAAAATGGCGCATACACGGACACACGAGCCCTCCCCAGCTGCGCCGCGCACGCACACACGCACACAAACACACACGCGCGCACCATGCGGAAGAAGTGGGCAGCTGCATGGGGGGGAGTCGGGAGGAAAGCAAGGCGTGTGCAACTGGAAAGAGGGACGGGGAGGGGGCACACTTGAACATGACCTCCCCCTGCCCATCATCACCCGGCAGCCCTACCTGTGCGCTCGGTGAGGTTCGACTCGGATGCGATGCGCTCAAACAGCTCCCCGCCCTCGCACTGCAGGCAGCACGGGGAGGCGGGAGGGATGTAGCGCCGAGCCATGCCTTACACACACTCCTTGGGCACGCGTGGCCTGGCTGCTCACATCAGTGTCCCCTTCGCGGCAAAACAGATAGAAGCACAAACAACACACACCCTACTTAAGCGCAGGCCTCAGCAGCCTTGGCAGAGTGCACCCAACCCAGCTGGCACACACCCCTTGCACCCACCAGCTCCAGCACAATGTGCACCGCGGCACCATCCTCGTATGTCTGCAGCAGAGCCGCCACGTTGGGGTGTGACGACAGCTGGGAGAGGATGGCCACTTCCCTTCGGAGGTCCTCAACATCCACCCGCCGCCGCAGCTGGGCCTTGCTGATGCTTTTGACCGCGTATCTCAAGCCTGTGCGCATGTGCACAGCCAGGCGCACCACGCCAAATGCGCCTGCATGGGGGCAGCAGCCAGGGCCGGGGGCGGCGTGTGGCAGCGCTCGACAAGGTCAGCCTGGGCAGCTCCAACAGGCGTCCGGGAGACAGAGGAGGTGATTCAACGCACAAGCTTACAATGAGGAGCTCACCCTGTCCAAGCACATCCGTTAAAATGTAGTCCTGCTCAAGGGCGCGGTGGCCGTGGGGTAGCACATGCTGGGTGTCAAGTGTGCGCTCCCGACCACGCCTCCGCTCCTTGTCACGCACGTACCGCTCGTACCTGCGCATGAAAGCAGCTTGAATGATGTCAAGCGCAGCCTGCAGCTTCAAGCTGGGCAAATCGCGCTGAATGCATGCCCGGCCCGGCGGCGAAGCGCGAGCCCCTCACCTTGCGTGGCGGCGGGGGTTAGGGCTGGCCAGCAGCGGGGCCGCTGCCTCTGCCTCATCCTCATACCCCACCCGCACAAGGCCGCAGGTGATCACGTGGATCCAGGCGGATAGACAGCTGGGCATCTCGCGCCAGAAGCCTAGAGCCTAGAGCCCACCGTCGGTGGAAGGCGGCAGCGGCGGGGCAGGGGTCCGGGGGGGAAGGGCGGGGTCCGTGAAGCGTGGCGCCGGCTGAGTGTCAGACAAAACGTCAAGTATGCTCTCTTGTTTACTGGGCGCGGAGGGTTTGCACTTTCGCCGGAAGGGAACACGCACTGTGCAGCTTGGTGGGCAAGAGCGCCCAGTCAGGTCGGCCCTCGCCTGGTCTGCGGGGCTAAATATGCTTGCGGTTGTAGAAAAGATCGGTGGCGGCCACCTGGCGGGCGCCCGGGTGGCGCGCGCTGTTCAACACTGCCAGGACAGCTCCGCAGGCTTCACAATGTGAGTAGCCTGTAGGTTACGTCAATCACAGGCACATACAGGAATAGTGTCAACCCACAATCAAGCACGGCAGGTGGCGGGCGGCTGCCACCAGTGGCACTCCCCTGCTGTGTGTGGCTTACATCAAGCGAGGAGAATGGAGGTGTCGGTGTAGGGCACAAAAGTCACAAACAAGGGGAGGCCTGTTGCCAACACACGAGTAGACTAGAAAAGATCCGGCAGCAAGCAGAGGTCAGACAAGAGTAGACACAGTCGGAGAAGGGGGTACTGCAGGCTGGGGGAGGGGCGCATGCTGCAGCCAGCTACGAGAAGGTCTGCGGTGGCAAGGGGTGGCTCCTAGGGTACAGGTGGTAGCCCCCCGGCGGCGCGATGCCAGAGTAGCTGCCTGGCGGCGGTGCCATTGTGTAGAAGACGCTGCCTGGGGCGGTGGGCTGGTGCTGCAGCGGGGGCTGCTGCGAGTGCGGCATGCCCACCTGCTGCTGCTGCTGTTGCGGTGACGGCAGCGACGCTGCCTGCTGCTGAGCTTCTGCATACGGCTGCTGCTGCTGCTGCTGCTGCTGCGGTGCTGCATCTGCCCCGTGCGGCGGCCGACCAGCAGCGGCAGGGGCAGGCGCCGCGGGTGCTGCGCTGGGCGACGACGCAGCTGGCGGCACCGCCTCATGCGCCAGCTCCTGGTGCACCGGGGCGCCATTCACATACGCCTGCCACACGTGCCGGCCGTCGTGGGTGATGAATGGCTGGTAGCCCACCGCCGACACAGGCCCTACGGCGCCCTGCGGCTCCGCCTCGGGCGGCGCGCCCATGCCGCCCCCGCTGCCCGCCGGCACGTCCTCCAGAATCATGAAGGGCTGCTGCAGGAAAGCCGAGTTGGGCACCATGAGCCGCCGCTTGCCCTGGCGCAGCGCAGTGTACCTGTGTGCGAGTTGCAGGGATGGGGGAGCCATCTAGGGCGGCCAAATCGACGCAGGGCTGATGGCGGCACCTTGCCTGCGTTCTCAGTCCAGCGCACCACAAAAAGAAAGCACAAACACAGACGTGACCAGTCAGAGCCCGCACCTGAGGTCCACCTTCTCGCACACCCCCTCAAACCAGCTGCCGCCGCCACCAAACCCGCCCGGCGACCCCGCGGCCAGCGTCACTCCCACGCGGTCGCCCAGCCTGCAGGAGGAAGGAGGGCACAGGGAGCGAGCTCAGGCTGAACAGAGGGATCGGCGGGCGCGAGGAAAAGCAGCAGACGGGCGCGAGGAACAGCAGCAGGCAAGGCTGTGCATGGAGCCGCACACATGGGGAAGCGCCCCACCCCTAACTTGCCACCAGCTCACCCCCCTGCCCACCTGAACGGCTGCACCACCATAAGGAAGAAGCCTGCCAGGAAGTTGTGGCTGAGGTCCTTGGCGGCGATGGCCACCGCCACGCCCGCCGGCAGCAGCAGCGCGGACACGTTGACTCCCAGCATGGACAGCAGTATAATGCCGGCCGTCACCTGTGGGCGGGGTGCAGGTGGGCCGTTCACGTGCATTGCATGGCCGTTGTTTTTTCTTCTTCGGATCGTGCAGGAGGGGGTCCCATGCAGCAGCGCCAACACGCCCTCAGTGCACCCCCGCAAGCGCCCTCACCAGCACAGTCAGCTCCGCGGCAGAGTTGATGTTGTCCGCCATGCGCTGGTCGATGGCGCCCTGTTTGCGCAGGTAGGCCACAGTGTTTTGGATGACCGAGTTGGCAAACCACAGCAGCCACAGCAGGACGACCAGCAGGCCGATGCGCGGGAAGACCAGGGAGGCGTTGGTGCGGATGGAGCGCAGCAGCATGCCGGTACCCAGCAGCAGCGGCGCCAGCATGGGCAGGGACAGCGACGTGGACAGCAGGCCAATCTGGGTGGCCACCAGGGCCACCAGTGCAGGCAGCCGGATGCTGCAGGCAGGGCAAGGTTTGGGCAGGCAGGCACAGCAGAGGTGTTCTGTCTGCGAGTGCGTGGGTGTGTGAGAGGGTTGTTGTAAATCTGCGACTGCCCGTTGCAATCGAACCCAAAAAAAAACCCTGCACAAAATGCCCCTACCACCTGCCCAGGCAGTGCCTGCCACCTACACAGCGGCACACCCACCTGAAGTTGGCCATGGAGATGGTGAGGCGCAGCTTCTGCACGTCCGGCCGGTCCCAAACCCACATCACCTTGCCCCACAGATCCTGCATGGCAAGCGCAGCAGGGCGCAGCAGGCGCGATGAAAAACGGAACACAAGCCCCCACAAGTAGGCCAGTCGAGGCCACTACAGGTGCCAGAGCATCGCCGTGTTTGGTTGTGGCAGCAATGCACCAAACAACCACGGCCAGTGCCCGGCCAGGCCAGCAGGTGGCGCACAAAACGTGCTCTCTTCATAAAACCCCCACTGCATTTGAGCCTTATGCAACTGCGCGCTTGCCAGCAGCATACCTCTGGAAGCTCTTGCTGCACCGCCTCCAGCTTCTTCTGCCACTTCTCCACCTTCTTAGCAGCCGCGCTGCTCACAGAGGCAGGTTGGAAAGATGGAATGGTGAACAGGAGGTAGCAGCTGACACGCGGAAGCAAACGCAGCATGGGTGGCAGATCATTGCCACCTGGCCGCATGCGCGGGCACAAATGCTGCAGCCAGCTCGTATGACGGACGATGCCCAGCTGCTTCCAGCAAGCCACACAAGTTTTGTTGCACTGCCCCGCACACAAATCTCACCTGCGAGATAAGCTCTCTGCTGCTTTGTCCTTTGCTCGTACCGCAACCTTGGGCAGGCCGTGCAACGCTTCTCCTCCCAGCTGCCAGGCCACCCTGCCGGTGGCCAGCACCGCAGTGTGCAGGCGGGACAACAGGCGGGACAGTGCTGCGCCAAACAGCAGCATCAGGCTGTAGCCGCGACCCAGTGCCGTGGTATGTTGCTGCCCGCCCTCCTTCTGCTGAGGGAAACAGGGAACACCGCTGTTCGGCTTTGCTGCGGAAAGCGAAAAGGGCGCCCGGCTTTGCAGCGATGCGCCACGTGCTGCAACACCCTGCCCTGGAAAGCTAGGGGGAAATGTGCGTGCAAGAGCATGGCATGCTGCTGCAGCGCACCTGGTCAGTTACGACGCCGCTGCTCCTGCTGCTCCTGCTCCTGCTGCTGCTCCTAGGGTTTCCGCTTGCGGGCCCACTGGCAGCGGCAACGGCCGCCCCCGCAATGCTGCTGGCGGCCTCCCCAAAGCCGCCGTAGCTGTAATCGTCATCGTCTTCTGGATCTTCTGCATATGTGTCTGGGTCAAAAGCGTCCAGCCGAGGCCCGCCTGCCTCGCATAGCACTGCCCGCCGCCGGCCACCGGCGTCGTAGGGTGGCGGCGTCAACTGCTGCCAGCGCAGGCCCAGCTGCAGCGCACGGGGGCGGACCAGGATTGCCGGGAAGCTTCAATGCCAGCACGCTTGCAAGGGGGCAGGCCTACGAAGCGAGCTGTCGCCGCTCACCAGTACGTGAGGCGCAGGCGCGAGCGGGGCTCGCCGACGCGGCTGCTGGAGGCGGGCCAGCTGCTGGAGGCCCGCCAGAGGCTGGCACACAAGCGGTGAGCTCATACCACCGCCTCCATGACTGGCCTGGACCGGTTTGCCAGTTTGTGCACAGCGGCAACAAACTAATCGATGGATGGGGTGGGTGTGATCAAACTGGGAAGATCATTCGTGGAAGCAACGCTTGGGCGCTGCCACGCTGGCGCGCCGTGGCGGTGTATCCCAAATCTGCCCAACAAAGGCATGGCTGCAAACTGGAGCCTCTCCGAGCACTATCATATTGAATTGTCCTCGACCCCCACATATTGCTTTTGTGGTCGTTGGTGCTTTCATTGCATTGGGCTGCTGTTGCATTGGGCAATGCTATTGCAAGGAAGGGCAATTCAAGGAGGCCACATGTTGAAAGAACAGCAGCCCCTCAGCAGCCCGGGGTGCGCGGCGGACCGTGGGGGAATAGGCACCCAGAAAATTGAGAGCTGGGAGCAGCGAGCAAAGGAGGAATGATAGTGGCTGTACGTATGGCAGCAAAACGAATGTGTCGAGTTGGGCAAAACAGCAAAGGAAAACGAAGACGCCCGGCCCTGATCAGGCGGCAGGTGGGGGAGCCTGCTGCTGCCACTGCGCCTGCTGGGGCTCAGCTAGCCCTGCCTCCTCCCCCTTCTCCAGCGAGTCTGCAGAATCGCCCACCGAGTTGCTGGCAGGGTCTTCAGCGGTGCTGGTGCCGGCATCGTCGCTCCCATCGCCGCTGCCGGGCGCAGGCTTGAGAGCGGTGTCAGGCGAGGGCGGTGCGACAAGGGCAGAGTCCACCTTGGGCACGCCGCCAGGCTTGCCATGCGCCGCCTCCAGGTCCAGCTCCCGGTCCGACCCGCTGCCCTGGCTCTTGCCGTCTGCAAGCAACCAAGCAAGGTGGAGAAAGGCAGGGTGAGCAGCAGCCCTCATTGGCAAGTGGGGCCGCCAGCGCTGCTCTCGCGTTCCAACTCTGCCCGGCGCACGCCTCAGGCTCCCGCGCCCGGCGGCGAGCGCACACACACACTCACCCAGCCCCGCCTCGGCGTCCATGCGCTCGCCCAGGTGGTGGGCAAAGGACTTGAAGTCGTCAACCTGTGCCTGGCGGCGGTCGGTGAGCGTGCCGTGCCACCACTTGTAGGCCATCACAAAGATCACAACCATCCAGTACAACAGGTAGTAGAGCAGGTTGAGCGCGGTGGGCTGGTCTGCAGGCGGCGATACAGGCAGCAAAATCGGTCAGAGGCGCCGGTGTGCGACATGGGCAGGTGGCGTGTGGGGCAGGGGAGGCTGTTGCGGCGCCAGCTCAGCACCAGCTCAGCGCCGCAAGCACACGCACCCGTGTAGCCAAACAGGGCGCGGACCAGGGACCAGAAGTCGTTGGTGTACATGTTGCAGCAGCCGCTGGTGTCCCACAGGATCTTGTTGAACCAGGGGGCGTCCTGCACGCGGGTGGGGGACCACAGGGCACACCAGGTGGGTGGGCCGCGCCACGTGTGAGCGGACAGGAGGCCAGGCAGGACAGCAGGCAGGAGCACGGACATGCCCACGCTGGCCAACCTTTCACCATCCAGCAAACAACCCGGGGTGCAACCAGCCGCACCTCATACGGGAAGGTGTTGCCAAACAGGCCGGCAGAGGTGAGGAAGACCACTCCGCTGGCCACCAGCCCCGCGGCGATCAAGAGCAGCAGGCCGCAGGAGAGGATGAAGAACCACTTGAGGCTCTTGATGGTGCGGCCACTGCACGGGGGACGGGGACGGGCGCAAGGGGTGAGGGCAGGCGCAGCGCTGGACGCAGGGGCTCAGCTGCTGCAGGCTTCAGCCCCCAACACACAGAGGCCACTCACGTGTAGAAGATGAGCATGCCCACGCCCAGGCCCAGGATGACGCCCACGATGCCGGGGATGATGATGGACTTAACGCCATCGCCCTGCAGGCACACGCAGCACATGGGACGGAAATGAGAGAGGCACGTGCAGTTAAGCACGGCGGAACGAGCAGCGGCGAGTTGCGGGTAGAATTCGAGCCAGAGGCGCAGGAAACGTGGCAACGGCTGAACCGGTCGAGCACGGGCTGGCCGCAGGTGCAGGTTTGCACTCGTTTCTTCTTCTTCCCTCACCCCACCCCTTCCCTACACCCACCCTGCTAGGATGGGTGTGGCATGGCACCACCTGCCCACCTGGGAGACGCCGGTGAGGAACAGCACCGACTCGATGCCCTCGCGCAGCGTGGCTGACAGGGCCAGCAGCAGGATGGACCAGCGGTAGGAGCGCGCGGCGGCCTGCGGCAGTGAAGGTACCCAACGGCGTCAGTGTGTGTGGCATGAAGGTGGCACACGCCGGCTGCACGCTGCTCAGGCACTCGCCGGCCGCCGCAGTAGCAGCAATTCAGCATCCTACAAGCAACAAGCACTGCCACGCCCGCTCGCACGACCAACGTCAGCACCTGGCGCCTCCGGCTGCCACTTCAGCACCCCACCCGCACCTGGCGGTCGCCGTCCATCGCGCCCTCCAGCTTGCGCCGCCACTTGCGCTCCACGTTGTAAAACTTCAGCATGTGGAAGGCGACGACCGTGATCAGCAGGCTGGCTATCCAGCTGACGACTCCCTTGAAGATGGACTGGGAGTTGCCGGTGAAGATCTGCAAACAGGCGGAGGGGGAGGGGCAGTGGAGGTCAGGACTGGCATGCTCGCTGTGGCTGGCGGTGGCATTAGCAGCCAATGCGAGGTGTGACGAGAGAGCTGGACCAGCCAGCAGAGGCTGCCGGTGCTCAAACAGTCTGGAGCATGTTTGTGATCACCGGGCGGTGCCAATCCCGACCCCAGCAAGTCACCTTCTCCCCCGCCACATAGAACAGGACAATGAAGATGATGCCGATCACTATGGATATGGCCACGCCAAGCAGCGCGCCAATCCAGACTGCAGACGAGTAGAATGGATGTGTTTAAAGGGTGTCAGAAGGGTGGGTGCCAGCAGGGCGCTGCTCATCGTCCAACCTGAATCCCCCGCAATCCATGCCTGCCCGCACCGTGCTTCTTCAGCGGCAACTTCATCTTCTCCACCAGCTGCAGCAGCACCGACACCACCACCGCCGCCTCCAGGGCCTCCCGGAACCTGCGGGGTGAAGTGGGACAAGGGCGCACCCTCCTCCTGCCGCCGTTGCAAGGGCGGCACCGCCGGAGGCCAGCAGCGGCAGCAGCAGACCAAAAACCCTGGCCAGCAGAAAACACTACTTACATGATGAGCAACGCTGGCACGCTGAAGAGCGTCATAGCGGCAAGTTGTTGCTAACCTGCACCGCCGCCGCGCAGGGTGGCCGGGCATGCGTTGGCGACGTCATGCAGGGCGCAGCACATTGAGCCATAGCGGGCTGCCCAAGAAAACCCCATACCATGCTCAAATCCCACACCTGGCCCGCTGGGGGAGTCTCCCTTGTCAGCAAAACAGGCAGGTGCCAGCCGGCCCGCTGCCGCACCCCGTCCCCTTGCCCACGCCGCCCACTCGCCGGCGACTGGCGATCACAAGCAATGCGGAATGCCGCTTGCCCAGCGAGTTGCGATGATAGGGAGAGCGCTTCGGGCTTGTGCGTGGCGTGTGCCGCTGACACGTCATGCATGCAAGGCTTTGACCATACGCATAAATGCCTCAATCTCCACCATGGCTCTCTTGGCAAAGTTTGCCGCATGTCAATGTGCAGGCCATGGCTGTCTCCAACTTTGAAACTTTGTGCTCCACAGCCGGTGTTATCGTTGCAGCTGCTGGACTTCATTTGGGCAAGGCACGACTCCCGGTGTTGCGCGGCAAAATGGTGTGGCGGCACCCATGGGCGGGCCGCCACAGGTCTCGGCGGCGTTCGCTGTGAGTAGTTGACTTCAGCAGCGCACAGCACCCGTTGGTATGCTTCACCTTCCAGCTGCTTAGAGACAGTAAGGCACCCTCCCGAGGGTTATAAGGCCGACGTTCAGTGGTCAACGCCCGCCTGCCGCCCCGCCGGCAGCCGCCGCCGGCAGCCGCCGCCGCTCCGCCCTGTCTTCCATCCAGCGCCACACGCGCACTTGCAAAAACACCGTGTCAAAGGCCTCTGCATCCCGCCATACCACGCATGCTGGCACCATTATTTTCCTGCCTCACAGGCTGGCTCACAGGCTCCACACCCAGCACCTCAGTCAGCTGACTCCTCAGGAAGCAACTATTGTGTGCATTTGAGTTAGGCCACACCAGCGACCAGTGTCGCATTCAGTGCTGGTCACTTGTTACTGCCGCCTCATCCAGCGACCAGTGTCGCACTCAATGCTGGTCACTTGTTACTGCCGCCTCATCCGATGTGATGTTGACGCGCGCAGGGCCGCCCACACTAGCGTTGTGCGAAAAGCTGTTAGGCACAATCAAGGATTGAAACTGCAAATTGAAGAATGCACAACAAGAAACTCACTGCTCAACTCGCTCAACTCCAGTATCAGGGGCTCAGCGGCAGCCGTCTGTCAGCATCGCTGCACCATGCTTGCACACATGTTTTTATTCGGTCCCCCGGTGGCACATCACAGCCTCTCTACTGGACTACTGCGAATGATGATTTGCCTAGAGGCGCTGTGAGCACCATGCCGTCACTATCTGCCGATGTTTCAAACAAGTTGGAGCTTTGGTGATGTCTCTGCTGTGGCACTGTTTTCATCAGAGTACCTGACACTACGCACACAAAACATACATGCCACAAGGACATACACGCTAGTTTTGCCACCCTCTGCATTAATAGGCAGCGTAACGCTGACGACCAATGGTACAACCCGCAGAAACACATGTACTACAGCGTTGGCGGGTCAGCCTGACACAATCACTGTCATAAAGTGCGGTTTTCCCACTGGCGCGATGGCCTGACGAAAGTGAATGTTGCCACGCTTTCTGACTGAATTTGAGTTTCTGGGCCTCCCCAGGACCTTCCCGGCAGAAAAGGGGCCCGAGGTGACATGGGGCTTTCCCCTTCCACTTTCCTCATTTCATGACAGTGATTGTGTTGACATCAGGTTGACCCCCCGACGCTGTACGTACATATTCGTCAAACGGATCTGTCTGCGCATAACCACGCTGCCTGTGCGTTTGTGAATGCCTGCGTCTACCCACGGCTGTTGCCATCTGCTGCCGGTTGCTGCACATGCCTTTTCAGATTCTCATTGGACGGGCCGCTACTTGCTCCTCAGCTGCTGGTTTCCATTAATGATACCAATAATGCTACCCTCATCTGACGACACTTCGACCACCCAATCGCCCAATTGCAATGCACAATTCAGAGATGTTTGTCTGGAGTTTTTCACCAGCGCTGAAACGCAGCTGCCATCAATACTGTATAATATATGCACCATTGATCATTTCACTGCGCTACCCAGAGCCAATTACGGCAGTTCCTCCTCGCCCAGTATGATGGCCAGCAGTGTTAACCAGTCCGTAGGGGAAGACAAACTACTCCCAGATCCTGGCTCTTGCAGTCACGACACGAGTACACGACACTGAGTACACAGCAGTACAGGCGCGCAGAGCTCTGCCATGCACGGTAGTGACGTGCGAAATACTGGCAGTTGATGTCACTGCCAGCTCCGGCCGAGCGCGTGAAACCCAGGCCTCAGTTGAAATCGCCTCGCCGATTTTCTTTGCTACTTTCAGCCGGCATAAACTTTCCGAGTTTGGATCCCTCCGGCCGGAGAACCTGAACAAATTTCCCGATCGCGGCCAACTACCACTCCAAAGGGCTTGCAGTGCTCGCTTCGCGAACAGTGCATACATGCAACTGGGTGCACATGTGCAAAAGGTAAAGGTAAAGGTGGGGAAGAGCCTCCACAAGCTTCACTTCCCGGTTTTAACGTCTAGCTTTAGACCATTATTTGATCTGCCCGACGCGCCAAGTGCAGTACCCCCCACTAGTAGTGAATGGGTCCCGGGGAGGCCTGTGCCGAAGCCTTGGCGATTCTATTAGGCGTTCCCGAAGGAATTGGCTTGGATTGGCGCTGAGCCGGTCAGCTATGCCGCGTTTGTCCTCACAAAGTTTCGACATGGGAGGAATCGAACCTGTGCCCTCTCGGAGGGTTTAGACACTAGCTCCAGCGCCTTCGCAACAGTTGGGCCTGACATTTCGGTAAGGATTGCCATAATGTTTGATTCGTAGAGTGCTGTAGTTAAGCTAGTAGATATTTCATTTGAATCTGAATCCGAACCAATGAGTTTTGCATATTTAGTTGGGCATTATGGGCCAGGCGCGCAGATTCGTGCGAGCAGGAGACGGGACGTCGCAAAAGGTGCATAAGCTAACGACCGCAGTCCTCGCAGCCTTGGTGGCCGTGTTGGCAACGCTTTCCATCACAGGATTGGGTGCTACAAGTCGGAGACTGAATCCTAATCCAACACCAGGTCAGAAAGACTTGTGTTTATACAAAGCTATATGCCGCCGACATTGTACGGTTCTGGTTCATAACTGCATTAAAGCCTGCTGCATGCTATTAAAACTTAATGGGCGGGCATGCGTGTACACATGTGCCATCGGCAGATGCCCAAGCTTGCAATTCCACTTTGCTCTCCGGGCTGTTCAACCTGTCTCAAGTTGTTTGGGAGGAGCAGCAGCGCATTGCGTTTACTGCTGGACAGTGGGTTCGAGTTACGGACCAGCCTGAGCTGAAGCTGCTATCCTGCAAAATGCACCGCTTCTCGTCTACAGAAGCGAGAGCATGCTTAGCGGAGCGACCGTTAATCTTGCTCGGCGACTCTGTCACTCGTTTCCAGTACCTCAGCCTCTCGTTTTTTCTTGATTTTGGTTATTTCCCCGGCACCACCTCCAACCAAAGTCTCCATCCAGGGGTTACGGACCTTCTTCTTAAGTATGAAGACTATGCGCCCTTTTTTCAACGTGCGCGGTTCACCTTTGCCAGCCTGTGGCATGATGTGTTGTTCAAGTAATGACCCTTCACGTACAATTACCCTGCAGGTAGCACCGCAGTCTTTGATGGCCGCATGCAGTGCTATTGCTGGCCAGGAGTCAATCTGAGTAGCACACAAGAGCAGCGGTTTTATAAGTCTGCAGAGGGTGCATCTGCTGCGTTTTATTGGTAAACTGGTCGTGATGAATGATTGATTCTGAACTGTGTGCATAGGAGGCAGGGTAATGGTATCGTTCCCTCCAGGCTGCCAGGCTACCCCGATGTGCACCTAGATGGGTCGTGGGGTTTCCCGCCCTTCTCCAATAGCACTCGCTCCTGCACTCCAGGAGAGTGCAATCAGCCAGACTGGTCGTTGCCGTTGCCCGAGGCGATCGCTAGGGTAAGAGTGTGTGTGCTTGCCGTAGTTCGTTTGTTTAGCTTCCAATTGGAACCGGTCCATGTTGTGTGCCATCATCAGTTGGCACAAGAATTGGGTACGGAGGTGTGGCATACGCATCCCAGCGCCTCTGCCATGACCTTGCTGCAGATCATGTCCCAGTTGAAGCCTCACACAATTGTGCTCAACCATGGCTTGTGGCATCTCATTTTTGGAGCACCTGCGTGGTCACCGGAGCTTCATGATGCAGTCATGCGTGCGGCAAACGAAGCAGTGCTTCCGCAAGGTGGGCAGGCCATCTGGAAGACTACAAGCTACGTCCATCGGGGCTGGGTTTCGCGGGACTTTGACAATGTCTCCGTGGAACAAGCTTTAGCACACGGCTGGCTTGTTATGGATGAGTGGGCCCTTTTTGCTTGTGTGGGCTTAAAGTCTGGTAAAGCAAGAACTAGCTTGCAACATAGACTCCCCGCCGAAACGGGACGGGAACCGGGCGAAAGCAGAGAAAGCAATAAAACAGGGGTGGAGCAAGGCGACATGCAACGCAAGCAGCTGACAGGGCACGCATCGAAACGTGTGTATGACTGGCAAAGTGGCATGGCGCATTGGGGAGAAACGCAACGGTACGGGAGCATGGGCTGGCCAAACGGCAGTGCGGAACGCTAGGTCACTAGAAAAGCAGGGAAAGGCGCACTATGTATGCAATGAGGGCAGCCCCGGCTCGGGGCCGTTGAGAAAGCAGTGGGCGGGAGGGGGGAGGCCCCGGTGTGGGCGGGCCCCATCGAGGGGGGATGGGGCGCGCAAGCGGCCAGATGGGGCGGGGCGCGGGCGGCAGTGGAGTCCTGCGGCTGGGTGGGATATAGGGCAATGAGCGTTGAGCAGTGTGCGATGAGCAATGAGCAGTGAGCAGCCCCTCCCTAAACAAAGTGAAGCGCAGGACGGGGTCCGGTGGATGGGAGGCAAGGAAACGCGGGGGGTTGCCACGTGCGCTACCGCCGCCGCCGCAGGCAGCACCCCTGCGGCGGCGGCAGCGGCAGCAAGCCGTGGACCCAAACGCCGTGCCGCCGCCGCCGCAGGCAGCACCCCTGCGACGGCGGCGGCAGCAAGCCGTGGACCGAAACTCCGTGCCGCCGAGTCCCGTGGCTGTGGCCGTGGGCTTCTGGCAGGAAACTACGGCCGCAGCTCGGCAGCACGGGGGCGTCGCAGCGTGCCGCCGCCGCCGCGCTGCCCCCCGGGCACGGCGGCGGCGGCGGCAGCAAGCTTGGGCCCAAACGCCGTGCCGCCGAGTCCCGTGGCTGCGACCGTAGACCGTGGGCCGGAAACTGCGGCCGCAGCTCGGCGGCACGTGGTTCTGGTCAAATCGCCAAGCGTGCAGCAGCGCCGAACCACGCTTCCCGGCCTCGGCGCATGCCTTCAGGGGCCCCCTATCGCTGGGCACACCCCTCCAACACCGAACATGCGCCCGGGGGGGAGGGCGGCCCGGGCGGCCCAGGCCAAAGTGGGCCGCCCTCGAGCAAGAGGCGGCCGGGCTGTGTGCTGAATGAATGAATGAATGAATGCACTCTGGCACAGCAGGCTCAACACCGTTTCTTTCAAACGTTTCCATTAACTCACTTCAGCGAGCCACATCCTGCGTATCTGGACAACACGCACTTTGCTGGGTGAATGTTTTGACATCACAAACACGTTTGTGGCACAACAGGGCTTGGGACGCTCGCTGTTTTTCTCAAAGGGTGTTGCATCCACTTCCTTCAATGCAGGTATGTGTACCGTGAGCTGAATCAAGTGCTGCTAAACATGGTCTGCGGGTAACGAGAAACATGTACTTTTGAACTTGTATTCAGTAATTAAATAAGGACATGTGATAACAACTCCTGAGAGGGTGTGTGCAAACCCTAAACCCTAAACCCGATTGGGCTTATGTTGGGCCCAACAACTTGGGCTGCTTCCCGGGAAACGCTTCCTTGAAGACGGAGCTTGCGCGGCTGTCGTTACCTTCCCTCCTTCCCTGCTCTCCCCATCCGTGTGGGAAGCAAGGACGAGGACAATTATGGCAGGGAAAACAGTAGCGGACAACGTCTGGCCATGGTGGTGGCGGGATGGGGTGCCGGTGGAATCTGCCGGGCATAGCACTCTTGGACCCAGCTGCTTGGAGACAGTCAACAGAAATGCACCCTCCCTGGAACTAACAGACCAACGATCAGTGGTCATGACCACCGTTGATCAACGACCGCCTGCCGCCCCGCCGCCAGCCGCCGCCGGCAGCCACCGCCGCTTCGTCCTGCCCTCCAGCGCCACACGCGCAATTCTTAAAACAAATCAACTAGAGAGGGCTGCAGGCGCTGAGCTCCTGACGTCTGTCAAGAGCCCTGTCCCCCAGCATGGCCAGCTGGGGCACTGGCAAAAGTGCGAGCACCGAGGGTGCAGCCGCCGCCGCTGGCGCCGCCGTTGGCGCCACCGCCGCTGGGCCCAGGTGCGGTGGGTGGATTGGCGGCCTGCGGGCGTTCCCATTGCTCCAGCACCAACACCGTTGCGGCCCGGTCGTGGAGCCACATTTGTGCACAGATGTCCGCCCCTCGGTGGGTCCAGCTGGGTGTGTGCCTGGCGCGTGCCCATCCGAGTAGTCGACGCGGACGGATCCACGACTATTCACCATCTCTCGTTCATACTTGACTGCACAAGTGGCCACAGGCATCCCCCGCGTTGCTCGTCTCGACCTGCGGCACCCTCCACCTACCACGCCCTTCTCCCTCGCCCCCGCCACAATGGCCCTTGGCTTTACCTCATTCTGCGACACGTCTCACCTGCAGTTTTACGCGGGCAGCCGGGGCAGCCCAGCCGCCGCCACCACACCGCGCCGCCCGCGCCGCAGCGCGCCCAGGCTTGTAGCCGCCGCGGCCAGCCCCACCACCGGCCGCCGCACCCGTGTGCTGCAGCAGGTCGCAGATGTTGAGCAGACACTTACGCAGCTTGAACAGGTGGGGGTTGTGGTGGTTGTTGTGGTGGTGCAGCAGCGGAAGCGCCGAGGCGGCACACGAGCCACCTCTGCCCACGCACACCAGCCACCCGCCCGGTCAGCCAGTGACACACTGGCAAGCACCTCATATCTCCTGCTGTTTCCTGCCCCCTGCCCTGTGACGCAGGCTGCGCCGCTGGCCGTGGCGCCGCTCGCCCTGGAACGCCAGCCCGCCACGCCACAGCGCCAGCCCTCTCTGCAGGGCCACCCGATGCAGCGCCTCTGGTCGGCCTCCAGCACCACCACCACCACCAGCGACAGCAGCGACAGCGACAGCAGCAGCGACAGCGAGGACGAGGGCGGGCCCGGCGCCGCCGCGGCCCGACTCGCCCGCCACGCGGCGCAGCAGGCGGCCCTGCGCCAGCGCCTGCAGCAGCAGGCCAGCAACATCCTGGCCGCGCCGCGGCCCTCTCCCGCTGCAGCCACCGCGGCAGCCCCTGCGGACGGCACAGCAACCGTGGTGCGCGTGTGCCAGGGCAAGAAGTGCGCCGCCGCCGGCGCTGCGGCGCTGCTGGCGCACTACGGTGCGATGCCCGGGGTGGTGGCGCAGCCCAGCAAGTGCCTGAAGCAGTGCCGGCGGTGCGTGGCGGTGGAGATGGCTTCCCAGGCCGGCCCCACCTGCGCCTCTGCTGCGCTCTACACTGGCGTCAGTGATGCAAACGCCGCCGCAGTGCTAGCCCTGCACCGGCAGCAGGGCGGGGCGCGAGGCGCCTTGCCTGCCGCCGGGGCGGCGCGGCCAGCTGTGCCCTAGCCCGGGGCCCCTAGTCGACTCCTTCTTTTCGCTCCTCTCGGTTTCCCCCCTCTCAGATCCGCTTTGCTCTCCCCGCTTGTTCCAGCCAACGCTCCTGCCGCTGTTCCCTCGCCCCGTGTGATTCCAACATCCTCCCCGCGCTTGCATGTACTACCCTGTTTTGATGTTGCCTTGTCGAGCGCACACTGCCATGAATTTTGTTTTGTTGCCTCCCATCTGAAACGAAACGACACGAACCCAACCCACTTGTTGTACGGCTGCGCCCGCTCCCTTGCGCGCCTGACTTGGCGCTGTAACCCAAGCACCTTCCTGCGCGTGGGCAGGAGCTTACACAGGCTTATCCTCAGGGCATGGCTTCCACGCCTTCCTGCAGCGTCGCCAGCGCTCTGGTCGCCGCCGCCTTGCCCCTCCGCCACCGCTCCTGTGCCGCCTGCAGCCGCTGCACATCTTGGCGCAAGTCGTCCGCCTGGCGCTGCGCCTCGCCCAGGGCCTCCTCTGCCCGCTTGGCGCAGTCTGCCTGCTCCTGCACCTTGGCCTGGGCACACAGCAGGACACAGGGGGGCACCGCGCGGCACGTGGGCGGCAAGAGGGGGGCATGCAGGGCAGCGCCAGGTGCACGGCCAGTGGATGTGGATGGGACAGAAGCAAGTGCTTTCTCGGGGGGCGCGGCTGGCGGCTGACACCGTGCCCCGCCAGCAACAGCCATCCTCCTGCCGCGTGCCGGCCCCGCCCTGCGTTGACCTTCCCAGCAACAGCCAGCCCCTGCCCCCGCCCCAACCCCCCTGCCCCGCCAGCTGTGCTCACAA